TACTAGTACTCAATACATATCACGATTGATTGACCAGTTATATAGCTGCTTGAATTACACACACAAGGACGTAAATATGTAAATACAGGTCACAGTTCAACTTGTATAGCAAACGATACAATGTGTCAAGTGATTTGAAGGCGTCTTTGTCCCCCTTCCCAATACAGAGACGCAATATGCATTTTATTTTGAATCGTCATTAAAACCTAAATTTATTACGAATGAAAACACAAGTTTATACATACAATGTACGATCATCGTTACTCCACCGGTCGGTTGGCAAGCGGGCGATGTTTCTGAAGCCAGCATGCAAAAAAAATGCGGTCGGAAAGCAGCGAGTGATCGGAAACTAAACAATAAGCAGTCGGGGGGGGGGGGGGTCAGCAAATAAAAGCAGGAGGTTGGGTGGAATGAGTACTGTATAACTGTATTAGTAAAATTCTGTGGCCTTTAATGAGCTTATTTGGTATTCATCTTCATTGATGCATGGCTTTGAGAATGTCATCTACATTATGACAGAATAATATTAGACAGATGGTTCTCCGAACCTGCCTATTCACATAGTTCATACCCACCATAGACTCCGGTCAGTCAAAATGACTATTTTGAACTGTAGGCATTAATCAGCGATTCTGCCAATGACCTAGAGATAAATCCAGGTCAGTGGAAGCCCCATGACACCAAGATTGTTTTCTCTTACGACACGAACCACGTGACCGAGGTAATGTGGCGACTCCATCTTACCCTGATATTCACTCTGTTTCCTTTCACTCCGCACCGAGGACTAGACCAACGCTACGGAAAGAGTGGGGTGGTTGGGAGGGACCCGGAGTCTATGGTGGGTATGAACTATGTGAATAGGTGGGTTCGAAGTATGGCAGCAGCAGCACTACCTGTTTCATCACTCTGGTGAACATGTACGGAGCAGTGCATAACCCAAAGGGGAGAACCCGAAATTCGAATACTTGGCCCAGGTGGACGAATCCAAGGAGATGGCAACTCGCTGGGTGCATCGATATGTGCAGGTACGCATCGCTTAAGTCTAGAGAAGCTAGCCAGTCGAACTGGTGAATGGAGAGAAGAACGCTGAATGGCGTCTCCATGCGGAACTAAACGAGGAGGACGTACTGATTTAGTCTGCTTAAGTCCAGAACTGGATGCCAATCGCCTGTAGATTTTGGTAGATTTTGACAAACAGAAATTCGTGGTACCTGGGTCTGGGGAAGGAGCCTTTGGGTCTGGTTGGGGCGTTTGGTCTCATCCCTCGAGTTGGGGTCTGATTTCAAAACCACACCGACCGGGTAACGTTTGGTCCAGCGGAAAGGGTTTTGCATAAGATTACCCCACCCGGGGACTTTAGGTGTTACCTCCTTCGCGACTGACCAACATTCGCCCATCAACACCGTCTACGCCCCTCTGCCACACTCAGCACTTGGCTGGACCAGGGGAGACGTGTCGCAGGGTTGCTTTGGATCCCGGCGTCTGTGATCCCATAAGCGTTGAAGGAACAGTAAAAGGTTGCTTTAGGATCGAGGGTGGGGGTATATACAACGTGTCACCAGGATTGATAATATTCCGCATCAGCGTGGCTCACTGAATCATTACGGATGGAAGACTATGAGGACCGCCCGAGGTACCCTCTGTATCTGACCTGGACGAACTGCATCCTTTCAACTTAAATATGTGAGCGAGAGCGTGTTCGAGTGTGCCTCTCATGACAGGGTAGGTTCCCTCTGGGAACGCCTGTGGGTCGGCAAGAGTGGAGTGAAAACTCACAGCAGAGCCTGGACTTAAAGGTAAGTCTGGTACCGCGCGGCGAACCCTGGCTGGCTGAAGGTAGGGGGGAGGCGCAACGTGTGCCCTGACTTGAAAGCCCTGCCCCGAAATCGAAGGCTTGGCTGCCAGCATCCCCGTGGGTATTCAGTGACAGAGATCGCAGAGGTGACACGGTGCAACTAGCCTGAGCCTCGGCCTCACCCAAATCAGCGGGAGAGTCGCAACTGGGAATGGGGGTTTCCGGAAGAGACATGTTTAAAATGCGAGCGATGCTTTTTGTGTTTTCTCCTACTGGCCGACTGAGGGGCCGCAGTGGAGACAAAAGCTCGCTTTGACTGCATCTGATCTACCCGGCCTGCCAGGGACGGAATCTGCCTGACAGACCTTCGACCAAAGCCCTCATCTCAGAGGCTAACCCGGCGCCATGCGAGGACGGTTCCACAAAAAGACCCGCAACGGCCCCATAGGAGGAATGACCTCCAGGGGGCACAGCCTCGCCATTGCCGGTAAAATCAGGTAAAACAACAGACTGTGAGGATGCCCTCCGGTCAGCGGGGGGAGACCGAAAAATATCGGAACCTCCACCGTCAGGTCTCTTACTCGACATCTCAGTACACGAAGTACCGGTAGCCGAGCATGAGGACTTTCCACTCATGCCAACACACAACTCACTTTGACCAATTTTACTAGACGCTTGACCTTTGCTGCATAGATGAGCGATGCGGTCAGTCTCGGCGATTTTCACATTGCGCTGGAAAACATCCCAGGCCCCAGAACTCCAGAGATTACACACGCCTTCAGGGCAAATACCGAACCCCGCACACAGTCGAGACATAAATAGCATTTCGGTTCCATTCTGGTAAATTCTGGGTACAATCACTACATAGTCGCCTCAAAACCTGAGGAGACAAAACAGGCGGTGAGCCTCTGGTACTGTCAGTACCGGTACATTTAAAAGTTGGAAAAGGTGACACAAAGAGTCCAACAAGTGGTTAAGTTACGTACGGTTTTATTTACTTTGTTGTGCAAAATGCTACACACAAAGGGGGAAAATGACAAGGAAAACTTATCCTACCAGCCACAATGTTGGTTACTGTGGCCGCGGTAACAACCCAAGCCAGAAACCCAGACAGGAAAAAGCAGGCCTTCCAGGCAGAGCCGCTTAATTTCATTCCCGTTGGTGCGGAGAGAAGAAAGAAGTGATTATCTGGCTATGATGGCTCTGCCACATGGCTTCGGTCACGTGGTTCGTGAGGTAAGGGAAAAAATCTTCCCTTGACCTAGATTTTATCTCTCCGTCATTGGCAGAATCGCTGGTTAATGCCTTCAGTTCAAAATAGTCATTTTGACTGACCGGAGTCTATGGTGGATAATTGAACGTAGTGAATTATATTATTATACCTCTGTCACCGTAACGCCATAAGTTACAGCGTGCCGTAATTTTGTGATATTTTACGGGGTTTTGGTTTGCCAAGACACATTTCAGAAATTTGTAGATTGCTATGGGACAGTTACGCAGATGGGTTTTGTGATTATTCAAATAACTGTCTGGGCAACCAAAGCAAGTTTCTTTACTTTAATGAATGCTTTCACTGATTTGACAACTTTGCTACCTGTCCAATCACTTTTTAGAACTTTGCTGACAGATATTGTGGCTTGTCAGCTCATTTTTTGTCTCGCAACACAAGTTTTAGAACCTTGCAGACGGCTTTTCTGATTTTTAAAGCACATTTCTGAATTGGACATTAAATGACGCTGATGTCTCCTAATTTTTTTATGTGCAAATTGCAAGCACCATTGCGCCAGTATTTTCATCCTACCATATTAGGAAATGCTAATTAGTCCCCGTTCGGACGCAGTCCGAAAACGGGGACTTGTGTTTTGCCCTGTGTGCGTTCGTCCGTTCGTCCGTCCGTCCATCCGTGCGTCCGTCCGTCCGTGATCACCTGTATCTCGAACATGCATGGACCGATTAAGTTCAAACTTCACTCATACATCACACATTATATGGGACATATGCACATGCATTTTTTTCATGATCCAATTAACGATAGCCGAATAGCGGCCGCTTTAAGGCCGAAAATGCATTGAAATCGCACATTTTCACCATTCCGGACTCGGATCTCAGTTATGCATGGACGGATTTCATTCAGATTTGGTACATACATTCAACATAATGGGACCTTGATGCACGTCATTTTTTTTTTCGGATCAAGTTCGAAATAGCCGACTGGCGGCCATTTTGTTTTAAAGAATTCAGTTCTGGATTCGTATCCAAGACATGTCTGGATTGATCAAGTTCAAACTTCACACACACATGGTACATCATGTCACAAATAGATATGTGCATTTGTTTCATGATCTGCTTAACAATAGCGGAATGATGGCCATTTTAAGGCCGAAAATGCATCAAAATCACGTATTTTCACAATTCCAGAACCGGATCTCAGTCATGCATGGATGGATTTTGTTCAGATTTAGCACAATGTGTTGTACATATGCAGGTGCATTTCGGTCATGATCTGCTTTGAATGTATATGTCACTCAAATATGAACGGAACGGGGACATGTCATTGACAATGACTTGTTCCAAATATGGAATGAATACGTGCGTATGTGTTTTCTAATAATAAAAACAAACATGGCTGCCACCAGGACTCCAAATAAAGTTCACTGACGGATTTCGCCTTTCCTATGATGTATCCTTGGAAGGCAAAGATGTATAATGATAAGGTTATTACTAGGATACCTCAAAGTCTGCACTCAGACAGTATCCTCGTAATAACCTCTCATTATATTAGATAATTTAGTTACCATCTGCTAGTATGGCTTTGTTATTGATATAAAATTGCTGCATAGAGTCTAGAATTAAATACAATTATTGTCGTTTGATATACACTCAATACTTCTAATTTGTATCCACAATTTGGGATATACATAAAAGTAGTTAATAAATAAACGCTGCTCGGACTGATAAATGTGATATATGGTTGATAATATTTGGTAATCATTGTCCTAAACTGTCATAAATAGCTAGACGTTGCGAGCAATGGCTCTTTATCGATAATGTTTAAACGTATATGTAAAACATATATTGGAAGTGAATTTTAAAGTATAGTGTGTGTTTCAAAACCAGATGTGTGAACTCTTCTCAAGTCTGAGTCACCATTCTTATACAGGTTGCTTCCAGTAGTCAAACATTATGTCATATGTTTGTCCATCAGGTCGTATTATTGACTGTGCCTTCACCGTTGCATTCAATCCCAAGTATGATAATCTACTGGCATCAGTAAAAGATGCTACTAACACAGGAATAAAGGTTAGTAACAAATATTTCTCTTCATCAACATCAAATAGTTGGTCAGGAGTAATTTCTGCAATCTTAATTGTTTTTTTAAGTATTTATTTACTACACACTGGACAAAATGGATTCTCATTCTTCACTGTGATGAAGTCTTGGTTCTATATAAATGTATGATATGGAATTGTTGTGTATAATTTTGTATTTTCAGTTGTCAATTTGATTGATATGTGGTACAACATCATAGGGTTTCATGTGCATGTCATTTCACTGTTTTGATGGATTCTTTTTGATATCTTTCCTTCAATTCATTTCACAACTACGAAGCTTATTGTAAAATCTCTGTTTTGCTGTTTTTTAGGAAGCTGGCATTGACGTAAGGTTATGTGATGTTGGTGAAAGGATACAGGAAGTGATGGAGTCATATGAAGTGGAACTAGATGGGAAAACGTATCAAGTCAAACCTATTAGAAATTTAAATGGGCATTCTGTAGGGCAATATAGGATACATGCTGGCAAGACTGTACCAATTGTGAAAGGGGGTGAAGCTATCAAAATGGAGGTGAGATTCTGACTCCTATCTTATTTGAGGAGAATTATTGGGAATAATTATGATATCTGAAAGTTGTATTTTTGACAAAACTTAGTTGAAAGATCATTCAATTTTGAATGACATGGCTAAAAATAAAAATCTCATTCAAAGTTGCAGTGTTCACAAGCTATACTGATTGAAAACTTGCATGCATATTTGATTGACATTCTGTTATTTCAAACAAACAAACAAACAGACAAACAAACCAGATTGGAATAAGTTATACATTAAGTTAATGGAAAGGTAGACAGTGAATAAATAAACAGAAGAAATGTTTACTATTGCAGTTTAATCCTGTATAGGATTTGTTCATGTTGCTGACAGCAATGTGTCAAGCTGACGTTCATTTAATGAAGTTGAGGTTTTTGCCTGCATGACACATTCATAAAATTAAATCCAGAACCTATGTTTATCAGAAGAATAGTTAATGAATTTTTAAAAATAAAGATGTTGCATTTGCTTTAGTGTAATCTATGCAAATGACATGAGTGAATATAATTGGTTTATAAGAAATGCAAAAGACAGAAAACATACTATGAATGCTGGGATTGTTGCCATGCTGTTATAGTCATGTAACATGTTGAGGTACAGTGGTGTTATCCATTCTTGTAGTCACAGACACTGTATCCTTCTGTCTTATCTCAAAAGAGTTATGAAATATTCTTTATTTGATAGTTTTAGTCTTGTACATGGAGCAGTTATGCTCTAATGTGTACCTTGATTATTGCTTTATACCTTACAGGAAGGAGAGTTTTATGCCATTGAAACCTTTGGTAGTACAGGTAAAGGAGTTGTCCATGATGATTTGGAGTGTTCTCATTATATGAAAAACTTTGATGTAGGACATGTTCCTCTTAGGTAAGCGACTTCTGTTACAAGATGACCTGACAGATTGTATGTGTTCCATCCTGTGTCAATTTTTATGTAATTTTCAAAATATTTTAATTCAATATCTTCGAAGCCAATATTATAATGAATTATCACTTCCTTGACCCTTCAGACTGCAACGTGCCAAGACCTTGTTGAACACAATCAATCAAAACTTTGGAACACTAGCTTTCTGTCGTCGCTGGTTAGATCGACTAGGAGAGTCAAAATATCTGATGGGGCTTAAAAGTCTCTGTGATGCAGGTAAGTATACTTATGTTGTTGTCATAGTAACAAAATGGTTTATACAAGATGGTGACTGTTCACAAACAGTCTTTGAACAAGTCTTCTAGTTGCTGATGTGATCTGACTAAATATTATAAAAACATAGCAACGTTCAGACATTATATCAGACATATGCACCTGCATTTATTTCATGATCATGTGCCAAAAAGCAGCCATTTTATGCATTTGGTTTAAATTTGGTACATACATTGAACACTATGGGACCTTGATGGACTTCATTTTCATTTTTGACTCCCGTGTGCGAAGCACAAAAGGGAGTCTTTGCAGTTACCCTGTCTGTATGTCTGTATGTATGTATGTATGTATGTATGTATGTATGTCACTTTTTTTGTTCCACCGTTATCTCAAGAACCACTAATCAAATTTTGGTGAAACTTGGTACATAGATGCTCTGGGATAATGCGCAGAGTTGATTAGGTTTTGGTAAAAATCTATGAATATTAATTAGCTAATTTGCATGATAATTAGCTTATTTTTACCTCTTCCTAGACTGTTCCACTGATATCTGAAGAACCACTCATTGGATTTTGATGAAACTTGGCACATGGGT